ATCTGTTAATATCAGCAGTCTTTTTTTTGAAGGGGAGACTCGGACTGGCCATTTTTTGGGTCCATAATATTTAAAAGGAAAAAAAGCCCCATCAAACATCAAGTGCTGTAGGCATTTATCCATCTGTTTTGCTGGGGGAATATTGCTTAATCGTGTGTGAAACAAGCCTTTACTGCTGTGAATCACACTGAGTTGAATCAGATCAAATGAATGATCAGTATTAAAACTCAGACTGTAAAAGCCAGAAGTGTCAGGAATGTGTGCTTGTTCATGTGTGGACATCAAAAAGATGTTTTTTGACTTGAGGTAGAGGTCACTGTATTTCCAGAACTGCTATTAAAAATGACATTGTAAAGAGCAACCTAACCTGAGAAAAGCTTCCTTGCCTGTTGCTTGTTGAAAAGACTTGTATTCCTGCAGTCATTTTGAGTTCCTTGCCACACTACACTGGGTCCTGCAGACCCTGATACAATTACAGAAAGGTACAAGTAAATATAGCACAAACTAGTATGTGTCTACTAGTTAAAAAGCTTCTGAAGTTTTCTTACTACTAAGCAGAGTTTTGATGGTCCTTAGATACAATGTCTTTTTGTTTTATAAACATGTAGAATAGGAATGAAAACATGCCCTATGTCTGCCCCCTCTGCTCGAAGACAATTACACCAGAGTATGTCATGGTGCTGTAGAGCATTGAACAGCTTTGAGTGCAGACGTGAATAGGAAGACACAGTCAGTCTCTGAATGTCTTGTACTTTGGCTTCATGTCTGGTCTTTGTAAAAAGCTTTAATAATAGCCTTGTCTTGTGAAGTAAATGTGGGCATCACATAAATTGTCTGCAGGGCAAAGTGAACATTTTCTTAAGACCAGAAAGTGGTTTAAAAGATTCAGACCACTTACATGAATAGCAGGTAAATTTGTGTAGTCGTAGCCATTCTCCCTTTTCACTTGGCAGGCGTGGGAGAGATGCTGTAGCATGTATGCTGGCATCTTGGCACTGAGCATGTTCCCAGGAAAATGGAACTGCCCATTCAGCGTAGGAATGTAAGCTTTACTGAATATATTGCTGATTGTGCCAGACGACTATTCATGAACAGATTAACTTTGTGTTCCTCAAGCAAAGAGCTGTCGTCACTGTTTCTTTCTTGTGAGCCATTTCTGAGTTGTCTTGAGCCAGCACCATGTCTTCTGGTTTCATTTGTATGTTCAGCTAATGATATTCAAACTGAAAAACCCACATCTTTTTCATGTATACAGTTTCTTGCCCACGAGTTCATTGAAATGCCTAGATGTTAGATTTCAAATAAGGGAAGGGTAATTTAGTATACTGGGTCTCTAATTGCTTGTTCTGTTTGAAGATGTCTGTCTTGCATGTTATCCTTCCTCGAATGTGTTTTCTTGTTACTTCTCATTCCTCTTGGTGCTGAGATGTCTGCTGTGGTGTGTAAGGAGATTAAATGATGTCTTTAACATCAGTGTTTAAGGAGCCATAGTATTTTATGTGAAGAAGTGTTTGACTCAAAACCAGGCTGAAGATGTTAAGCAAATGCAACTGCATCACAGTTTGAGAAACCTGACCAAATGTTCAATGCTCCTATAGACAGACACGCTACTCGAAAAATGTTCTTAAGCCTAGGAGTGGTAGGTGAGAGCAGGTGCAGAAGAGGATTTAAGCTATCTGCTTGTATAGAGTGTCTTAAAAAACCAAAGCAACTGATTTGAGAGTTTAATAGGATTCAGGATGGGAGCAAAGGAACCAAGGGTCCTCTTCCTTCCTGGAAAACCTTAGGCTAGCAGTATATTTTTCTTTCTTTGAATACCTTCTGTATTACCTCCCTTAAGTAAGATAGGAGTGGATGTAAAGATTTAGTATTTTCCAGAGGGTTGCAAGACTTAAAAGTCATGCTTAATTCTTCCTCTTCCACCCCTGTAATTAAAACAGCTGAATATGTGTGTTCTATTTTCTGGACTGAGACCAAGAGTGAAAAATGTCAGCCTAAGCAGTTTTGGGGTTTTTTTTTATAGCTGTAGCTGAATAAATATAGTTTTTAAATGCAAGTTCTAATCCAACGATGGCCAGTTAATAGAAAAATCTTAGCAACATCTGTTTACCCATGAATTTGGTGCCAGGCACTGCATTTTACTTTATAAAATTCATGTAGCTTATATAAAGCTACTCCCATTCCAGTTACTGTCTTATTAATGTCAATATAGAGACGTGGAGAAAGTTCCTGTGCTCAAACAAGTAAGTGATTTTGGTCTAGCAATTTGAGCAGCCATACAGTAACATTGTAATGAACAGAAAACAGATTATGATCATTCATAGGTGAGCTGTGAAAATAACTAGTATTTCTCTTTGGCTTGGGGTTTTTGTTAGTTTACAAGCCAAGTGATAGCTGAGGAGAGTTTGATTGTCAAGCTGCCTTTTGAAACAAGCAGAGTTAAGTAGTTCATGCTTTCCTGTTAATGTCTTGTCTGTTGAGGCTTAACATGAAACGTCAGGAGAATCAAGTGGAAAGGTATCATCTCAGGCTGATAAAGCAGTTAACACTGTGATTTTGCATTCCAGAGGTTAAGACTCAGGCCTGATACTTGCCTGACACCAGTGAGTGCTTCCCATGAAGCCGTGAGGACTTCTTTATTGCTTTTTTGTCTTTCTCTAGAGCAGTTGTTTTCCATTTGGTTGCATTGTGGTGGTGAGCAGCTTCCAGGTATCCTTCCATTAAAAGGCTTCTCAGGTTGTTCTGAGGAGGCAGCAAGGTGTGCAGTTGTTCACCTTAAAGTGTCTCTCTGCGTGACATAGGCTTTGTGAGGTGAGCTAGCAAAAGCTTCATCTTCAGTGTAGGAAAAAGATGTCAATCCTTCATGTCCCCTGTAAAAAGAATGGCAGCCTGGCTCTATATCATTGCCTAGAGTCAGTTCATGGGATTAAATCGTGCATTGTCCAGACAACTTCTGTCTCTTTATTTTGTTAATGAAAAGTGCCAAGTGTCAGTGAGAATAGTGGTGCCCTATGTCAGGCTATGGTCTCCTTTTGCCTCACATATTCTTTGAAGTAGAATTTGCCTTTTTCTTTGATCTTAGAAGCTGTATACCAAGTCTTTACAAATCAGAGACTATAACAGTATTTAAAGTTGAGGTTAAAAAGGAGTGAAGCAGGAATACAGACTGCTTAGAAATGCAGATTTCACTACACGTTATTTGCAACAAATTATGTATGTAACTGTATATGAAAGGGAGTCCTTGGAGTTCATAGCCACTTTTATACATTGTTGGCATTTTGAACTAAAATTTGTTTGGCCACCCCTGAGAACTGCATCTGCAGTAAGATTAAAAGCTTCTGATCAAAAAGAGGAATAGCCATATATAGCCTTTGGCAACCACATACAGAATAACACTCTTTATTCCTTTGCCAGTTTTACTTTCCTTTCTGAAACGTCTGCTCTGTATCGGTGTTTGCTGTGAAAAGTTACCCACGTGTTCAGTAAACATATTAAGGAGGGAGGCAGAAGAAGCTAGTTTAAAGCAAAGAAAACTTTGATCAATTTAGAATAGTTACAGAGCAAAAAGTTAACATAAATTTTAACTGCTCTCTAGGAGCCCCAGCGATGTGCATATGAAGGATGAAAAACCAGCTTCATAAAGATAAGAGCCTTAAATTCTGATAAGGTTGTTGAGGTGCAGCTGGCCTTGGGTGTTTCTCACACCACAGCCACTTTGGCTTTAGAAGATCTTTGAGCTTGTTTTCTTGCGTTGCAAGGTCCCAGTCGCTGCTGCATTCTCCATCCTCCACTGGCTTGGCACTGTCAGAGAAGAAAATGGTGTGAGGGAAGAGAGGTTTTGCTTCTCATTAGCAAGCAATGCATTGTCCTTGGGGGTGTGTAGGTATGTGTATGTATATGAACAGTAGAAATGTAGGCAGCTGCCCACACTCCTCTGAAAAGACCATAACAGGGAAAGCAGGAGTTGAGCCAGAGGCAGAGAATGGTGTGTGTGGGGTTTGGGGTGGAGAAGGGGGTAGTGGAAGAACATGTTACCCCAGCTCCACTTCCATCCCTAGGTATGTAAGTGCACTCCTGAATGCTCTAACCCAGCTCCCCTGCATCCCTCCAAATAAGCATTTGTAGAAGAAAGAGTGGTTTGTGCTTGCTGTTTTTCTGGTTCCCTTTTCACTTTAACTTAGTTGGCTGCAGAACAGATCCTTTTAGCTTCCTCAGCTCTTTCTTTGAAAAAGATGGAACTGTACACAGAAAACAGTAGTGCTGTCACTGTGGGCTCTACAAGGCCTATCATAAAGCTGGCACATTCAGGTTTTGTGTAGCAGTTTTGCTTGGGGCCACAGGGTAATGCTGTGTTTTGCAGGCTGCAGTAGATGTTAGTGAGGCTCATCTGGAGTGCAAGATGCCAGTTGCAGAGCTCTGTCTGAAGACATTGCTTCATAGTGCCTCCAAGTCAACTCCCTGAGTATTTGCCTTGCCTTAAGTGACCCAGCTAAAAAATAGACATGTTTTCTACGAGGAGCAGTGCTCCCTGGAGGTGGAGGATGTGCCACTTGCCACTTCAGATGCAAAGCAGCAACTTAATGCCACCCTGCTTGTCTTGGGGTAGAAGCCTGCAGGGGGGTGGGAGCACACGCTGCAGCACTTGGTTTTGGGTTCTAGGAGTGATAGATCTTTCAAAATGAAGGTCTGGTCTTTAATAAGTGCTTTTATTTGCATATGCTAACTGCTAGTTCGTTACAGGCATACTGTATTTCCTATTGTATGGACCTTTTGCTGGGCACTGACATGTAGTCCTAGGCAAAAAACAGTTACTGAAGAAACCTGTTTTGTTGGAGGGAGTTCTAGCAGAAACTCTGGAATGATGTGTGGCTTGCTTTGTGTGGACTTAGTGTATCAAATTCTTTGTAGTTTTTTTTGAGTTTGCTGTGAAAGCATAGCCCATGCTGTTCCAGATCTTTCTCTTGTTCAAATTACAACCTGACTTTTACGGTTTCTTGCAGGCCAGCCCTCCAGATCTCTATATTGAAAGATTTAACGTAGCTCTTGGACAGTATATGGGAGCATTGCAGAGCATTGTGCCTCTTTTCATATATATGGTAAGTTTTAGAAAATTCTTTTCAAATAAAGTATGTCCATACACAAGATGCTGGCTGAAAGCAAAAAGAATAAAATGCAGCTTTAATGATTTTTAACTTGTAGCACTTATGATTCATGCCTGCTTTTGCTGCCTGCACTACAGTACTGATCGTGGGGAGAAGGGGGAGCTGTGCTTTTAAATGTAGCATTTTGCAGTTGGTTTCTGCCCTAATATTTCTTTCCTAGGAGAGTGGGGGGAATGGTTTTAATTTTGTTTGGAAAAAAACTGTCCTAAATAGTTAAGTGGTTATTTATCAGAGATAGTTTGTTGGCTTGTTATATGTTGGCTTAGTACTTTGGCCAGTTTACAGACATGATTGTTGCTTTTAAATTGTGTAGATTCAGATAAGGCAGAAAGAAATGTCTCTTGGAAATGTGTGTACCTTGATAAAGCAATTTAGAGCATTGACTGGATGACGACAAACTTAGGTGCATAGCATCGTCAGGCATACTTGCAGAGGTTCAGAAACCATTCTCTATAAGTGTTTGTCATGCTGATTTTGTAATTCAATGTCTTCTGCACCTCTCAAGAACTTTATAACTTGCATCTTTTTTGTCAAAGTGCCAAGATTTTTATTGCCTTTTTTTTTAATGGTAGTGAATAACTTAAGCTTGAAATTCATCCTTCTCCTAGAAACTATCCTTGCATTGTCATCACTTAGAAGTAAAAAAAGAAAGGAAGTATTTGTTAGGAAAGAAACTTTTTTAAAAGAAAAAAATATTTAGACTGATTTAGATTAAATAAATCTCAGACTCTTCAAAATTACTCTCATTGGCAGCTTCCCGGAGTTTGGGAAGCATTATCTTTTAAAAGGATATCCTGTTTCAGTGAATATATCTGAAACCAGGTAACTTGCTACAGTCTTTCAGCATAGTGCAGCCATGCAGATTTAGAATAGTTAGAGTGGAAAGGACCTTAAGATCATTTAGTTCCAACCCCCTTGCCATGGGCAGGGACACCTCGCACTAAACTATGTCACCCAAGGCTCTGTCCAACTTGGCCTTGAACACCACCAGGGATGGAGCATTCACAGCTTCCTTGGGCAACCTATTCCAGTGCCTCACCACCCTCACTGTGAAGAACTTCTTCCGTATATCTAACCTGAAGTTCCCCTGGTTAAGTTACCCCTTGTCCACCACTAGAGTCCCTAATGAAGAGTCCCTCCCCAACATCCTTGTAGGCCCCCTTCAGATACTGGAAGGCTGCTCTGAGGTCTCCACGCAGCCTTCTCTTCTCCAGGCTGAACAGCCCAACTTTCTCAGCCTGTCTTCATATGGAAGGTGCGCCAGCCCTTTATCATCCTTGTGGTCTCCTCTGGACTTGCTCCAACAGCTCCATGTCCTTTTTATGTTGAGGACACCCTTTGTTGGATTAAAAGGGGAATTTGCTTGTCTTGAAATGTATGTCTTCTGATCTGCTCTTTTATCTAGTTAAAATTCAGTTGCTACAGCTTTACTTGTAACCCAAGAGGTGTGTTCCTCGTGCTGATTTTGTATTTTTCTCTTTGTTCCTGCTGTAAAATCCTGGAGAAAAACTAGGAAGAGACTCTTTCCTCCTGTTACATTCAGATATCTTTATATGCTAGCCATTTATTCACTTACGTGTGTTTATTGCAGGCAGGTGTTTAAGAGGTCTTATAATGTAATACCCATTTACAAATGGGATAAGCTGTTCAGGTGTGTACTTTTATTGAGTACTTAGTTCCATCACAGAGGTCAAAAATCTATCTTTAACAATTAAGACTGCATAACTAACATCAAAAAATGCTCGTGGTAGACATAAGCAGACAGGTTTTAACATTATAAACTCTGTCTTTATGACCAGACAAACTATATAATTGCTGAATAGATTTCCATATCTTTGTACACAGTTGTGATACGTGGTGTTTATATTCTCAAGCGAGGACTGGTCTCTATCTCATCCTTTTGTTTTAAGAGTTTGAGTCTGACTGATATCCAAACATTGCAAAAATGGTTAATGAGTAATAAACAGACCTGTAAAATGAATAGGGGTTTTATATTTTGTTTCAGAATGAAGAAGAGTGAAAGTACTCTCTTGACTTAAAGGAGAAGCTTCTTTAAAGCATGACTAGTGATTTGTTCAGGCAGTAGAATTCTGTTTCTGCAAACAGTTTTCCATCTCATAGAATCAATGAGTGGTTTGGGTTGGAAGAGACCTCAATAAAGCTTACCCAGTTCCAACCCCCTGCCATGGGCAGGGACACCTTCCACTAGAGCAGGTTGCTCCAAGCCCCTGTGTCCAACCTGGCCTGATTTAATTCAAGTTAAGCCTGAAAGTTATCATAAATGGTTTGGGTGGGAAAGGACCTTTAAAGGTCATCTAGTCCAACCTCCCCTGCAACGAGGAGACACATCTTCAATTAGATCAGGTTGTTCAGAACCCTGTCCAACACGGCCTTAGAAGTTTTCATGGATGGGGCATCTGCCACCATTCTGGGCAACCTGTGCCAGTGTCTCACCACCCTCATTGTAACGAATTTCTTCCTTAGATATAGTTTAAAACTATGCTTTTTCAGTTTAAAACTGTTACCCCTTGTCCTATCAGAACTGGTGCTGCTGGGAAGTCTGTCCTCATCTTTCTTACAAGGCCCTTTGAAGTCAAGTTGGTGACTTACTTACATGTTAGTCCCTCTTGCTGCCGAACACAATGCTGATCTGGCTCAGCTATATAGCTGGTTTTGAAGGCTCAGGAAGTCAAATGAAGTGTCACACTTTTTCTCTGAAATTATTTATTAATCAGTGTTGTGCACGATGTGGAAAATAGGGAAGTCTGTGAAAAATGTTCACCTCAGGTTTTTTCTGTATGTGTTTGGAAGTACTTTTATGTACAGCTACTCTTGCAATTTTATATTTTAGGGTCTAATCAAGTTTTCTTTCAGCAGTTTCCTGTATTTAGACAAGATGATATAATAAAAAAACAATTGCAAGAGGTACAAGTCTGATCATCCTACAGTATAAATTACAGCTTTGCAGTTATTTAATAGTTATTTTCAGTGGCTTTTTAAGTGAAGAGGACTAAGTTCTTAAACTTGTCCTTTTTGTCGGAGATGCAGGGATTTCCTTTTTCAGTAGTGATGTAAGTGCTTTAATCAGGGGTTTCCAAGGCTGTTGAGTTGCACTGATAAACTTTGTTCTGAAAGGATGATTATATTGCTGCTCAGGAAAACTTCTACTATGCATTTAAATATTTAAAATCAATGAAGCTGAGGACAAGCTAAATGTTTTTGGTACAACCTAAACATGTTTTTGTCCCTCCGTGGCCAAAAAAGACATTGAATTTTTTCCTTAGGCTTATTTCTGTGTTTTACTGTCAACAGCTCACTATTCCTTTTCCTGATAGGTACCAAACCATAATCGTGTGTGTGAATGATGGGAATACAGGAAAGGTGTTTTGTTAACCTGGTTGTATATGATGACCAAGGTGTGTTTCAAATCCTGAGTTGAGAGGGCTGACTTTGCAGCTGAGGGAGTTTTCCTTTTCCTTTTGCTAGGCACGCTAGTGGCTTTATTTTTTCACATGGTGATGGATTTTTTCCTAGTCTTATGCTGCTACAGTGAACTTCTCAAGAAAGCTCAAAACAGAGCACTTTTGTCCCTCCCGAATTCTGCTCCTTCAGAAGCTCCAGGATGTAACTGCAGATAAAAAACCCTAGAAGCAGCTTAGCACACGGTGCTTTATTCCTAAGAGTAATTCCTAGTGGATAAGTGTTTGCTTTGTAAATCTAAATGAGGTTATTCTGGTTGCTCACAGATTGTGCATATCACAGTATGTGCACACAAGAATGAATAAAAATCATATTTCCACTTCAGGAAAAATTAAAATCAGCATTTAGATGATATACTTTTTTTTTTTTCCTAATAGGTTCTCAGTTGTTAATTATACTTGGAGATGTAGCTGAAAATCTGTTATCTTGTGGTTTTAAATGAGCCTAATGTTTGTGAGCACTGTGGTTTTAGGATAGCTAAGAGTGCTTTCATTGCCTCTAAAATACTACTGTTCTTACTGGGTGGTGTCACACTTCGTTGCTTATTATCTAGAGAGCATCTTGTGTGTGTCTGTATGCACAAATATGTATGAATGTGTGTATATATACATGTGGATGAGATGATAAGCATTCTTATATATTTTTGTTCCTCTTTCAAGTATTTATTGATCTCTTAATAATATTAACACAACTGTGTATTTTAATGTTTGCCTTATGTGATCTGGTGTTTTGTGGAAGAAAGGCTTTTGTCATCTCTGACTTTCTCAGTTACTGATATCTGCTTATCTTC